TTTTTTTTTTTTTTTTTTTTTTTTTTTTAGATATAAATGCATGCAAAACTGCAACTGTAATTAGAAATGACGTGGCATGGGCGTTTCAAATACACATAAAGTTATGCATATGGAATGCTGACATTAATACCACTACACACTTGTAACCGGCAGGTTGTGCTCGACATGCAGGAACGTCATGACAGCGCCGGCTGATGCGGTTAAAAAGAAACAGTAGATGCGTTAGATGTGACAACAAGCAATTGTGTCGTGCTTGGTGTGACTGTGTAGTGATCCATTAGTTCTAGAGAGTAGTTCCTGGTAGTAGTATGAAATATATACTCCCTATCAAAATAAAACATAAAAAAAATAAAATAAAATAAAATGAATAATAATAAATAAATTAAAATTAAATTAAATTAAATAAAAAAGGAGGGACTACTAATGAAATGCTAACAAAAAAGTCCTATAAAATCCACTTCGTAAAAATGTATCCCTCAGATATGAATAACTTTTAAGGACAGGTAATTAAAATGCCTTTTTATTGTTAATTTGAATAATTTTTTCTTCAAAGAAAAAAAATTGATTCGAATTTCAACTAAATAGGATCTTCTTAAATTTAAAGAAAAAAAATTTCCTTTGCTGAGTTCCAATCTTTTGGGATTATTTTTCTAGTTTTTTTTTTTCTATTTCCAGGTACAATTCCCTCCTGGCTTAGTGGCAGTTTCTATAGAAACGGACCTGGGAAATACGAAGTTGGTGACACAAAATACAATCATCTCTTCGACGGGTTGGCACTTCTCCAGAAATTCAGCATAAAGGATGGACGAATATCATATCAAAATAAGTTTCTGAAAAGTGAAACTTTTCTGAAAAACATGAAAGCCAATAGAATTGTTGTGTCTGAGTTTGGGACTCTTGCACATCCGGATCCTTGTAAAACTCTGTTTCAAAGGTACCAGTAGAACGGTCAATTTAAATCTGATGTACTAAGTTTGTATTACGTTAATAACTTACGGTAGATTTTAAAGAAAATGTGACATAGAATCTGTGTTAAAAGCGCGTAGGACCCTAAAAATAAGTACTATTGAAGATAAGACTACTTAAACATACTTAACAAGAATCGACACTTCCCTTTATTTCCGTATCCGAAACTAATTCGTTAAAGTAACTCTAGGCGGAGCCTCCTCTTCACTCGACTAAATAATCTCCAACTCTGTAATCTCTAACTATACAGCTGTATTGCATTTTGTAGGTTTTTCTCCTACTTTTATCTGGATGAAGATGAAATGATGACGGATAACTGCTCCGTAAATATTTTCCCAATGGGAGACCAGTTGTATGCCTCCACTGAGACAAAATGGCTGCGAAAGATTGACCCTGAAACTTTGGAGACGCCAGGCAGGGTAAGTGATGTATTGAAAAAAGAAATTAACAGTCAACTTTTGCGTGCAAAAAATGCCAGCGACACTTTTCAAAAAAAAAAAAAAAAAAAAAAAAGGGACAGAGCATACACTAAATATGAAAAAGAATATTTTAAATCGGTCTTTCAAAGACAAAACTCTGCCAAACTCTGCGTTGTAAAGATGAAAACGATGCTCTTTGAAAAAAATGTAAAAACAAGGCGCACTCAAAATATCAATAAATATATTTTAAATATTTCTTTCAAAGACAAAACTCTTCCACATCTCATATTTATTGAAAGAATTGTAGAACTAAGAAATTATTGCGAACAATTCATTGTATTATTAAACAGGTAGATATCACCCAGTTTGTTGCCACTAATTCCGCTACTGCACACCCCCATCATGACAGAGACGGGTGTGTCTACAACATAGGAAACTGCTTCAAGGGAAGACCGAGGCTTGCCGTTATCAGATGGAACCCCCCATCGAAAGGTAGGAGTTTTCTCTCTCTCTTTCTCTCTCTCTCTCTCTCTCTCTCTCTCACACACACACGTGTACGCGCGCGTGCGCACACACACACAGATAATTTGTTTTTTTTTAATGGGAATACATCTGTGAAGTCTTATCTTAAGCATTTAAATTTCTGAATTTCTACACCTCATTGTGTGTTCCTCAATGCTCAGTCTCAGAGCTACCCACATAGTGAGGAGGGCCACGGTAGTGTCGAAAACATTGTTTAAGCTCAAGTAAGTGTAGCTCAAGAAATAGAAAGGTTTAAACGTTAAAAATGAACAAAAAATGAAAAACGTTTATTGGTAAATTAAATTAGCTCTGCACTGGACTCCAGGTATTAAGAGTATCGATTCATGATATCTCATCAGTAGAGAAAGCTGTCCTTCTAAAAAAACTAGGTCAACTGTAAATATTTCAGAGGCTCCGGATCAAATCCAGAACGCAGAGTTGGTAGCCTCGCTGCCCAGCCCGTACTATGTGAAATACAGCTACTCCCACAGCTTTGCTCTGACAGAGAACTTCATAGTAGTGATACAACAGCCTCTGATCATTAACGTGCTCTCAATCCTGACGGCCAAGATTAGAGGAACGCCCTTTGCCAACGGGATGTATTGGGATAAAAATTGCAAGGTGATGCTTTGCAATTTAAAAAGTCGCTAAATAATTACAGTACAAGGGTTGTTCAAAACGTTTTGTTAAAGATTCTAGGAGAAAATAATAATAATAATAATAATAATAATAATAATAATAATAATAATAATAATATATTTTTTCACATTTTCAGACTGTGTTCCACATCATCAACAAGAAGACAGGAGAGGCAATTAACCCTGGTTACAACTATGTTGGGGACCCACTACTTCTCTTCCATCACATCAATGCTTATGAAGAAGATGGTAAATTATTCTGTTATTATTATTTCTGCCAAGGAGGTCATGTTTTGCCCTTTGGTGGTTTGTAAAATAACAGACTAAATCACAAATTTTTTTGAAAATTTTTTTTAAAATGTTCATGATAATTCAGAAAAGGGTTATTAGACGTTGCATAGACTAGGCTTTGATCGTGATCCATTAATAAATGAATTGGCAATATGAATTGAGCTGCAAGCACGGAGGTTTGCGCGCTCTGGGAGCTTTTACAGTTATCATTTTGTTCAACCAATAGCCATTTACTTTACAGGTCACGTGGTTGTTGACGTCTGCTCTGCTGAAGACGGTTCCACATTCGACATGATATTTCTGGACAAACTTCAGTCAGAGGATTTCAAGAAGTTGATGAAGAAGAATGGTAATACATTCCCAAGGCGGTTCGTGCTTCCACTCAATATTGATAAAAAGGTATTTATTTCGACCTCTTTCAACCCAGGTTAAACGTATTTGGAAGAGGAGGCAGGTTGACGGGACCTTACGGGCATTTGATTTCTAAATCTAAATGCCCAAATGTGCCTGATTTAAAATGATTTCAAAAGTGCACCATTTTTTCAAATTGCTCTGAACTTCCGAAAGCAATGCATTTTCATTTATTGCTTTGTAATTCGTTCAAAAAGATTATCTTACTATTCACATGTGAGATTAGCACGATAGACATTGTTTCAGTCTCTACTGGGAAGCTTTGGTTCCCCCGATATAATATCCCAGTAGTGTTGCTATATTAATTTTTATATTTTAGGCAAGTAATTTAGTGACTCTTAGAGACACAAGAGCAACGGCAACCATGTCAGGAAAAAACGAAATATTCTGCAAGGACGAACGTTTGAGTGATATCTGTAAGTTTTCTGGCTTATTCCAATATATTTAAATATATATATTTTTAAATTGTACACATGTAATAGACTCATGATCTTTATGTAATTGACTGTTATATTAAAATTGCTGAATGTAAGTATCTTTTGGAATCTTTCAGTTGGAAAAATATTAGTAATTATCAAAATGATTATTTATTTTATTATTGTAAATATTGTATTGTTTTTTCTGTGATTAAAAAAAAAAACAACTGAAAAAGCAAATATGTGTTATGAATTTAAAATTGCATTTATAAATAAAGTAACGAATACACAATAATTCTGTTACAGTGACGGAGTTCCCTATGGTGAATTATGAACTAGTTAACGGCCGGAAGTACCGTTACATGTACGGCATATCGACAAACGTTGTGGGGGACTACTCCACTGGGGTGAGACATAGAGCGCATTCAAAACAGCGGAGTAACAGATCCGCGGATGAAAAATGGCGATCCACTAAAACGATCGCCGTTATATTCTCGCTAAGACACTGGATAGATTCCCCGCGGGGATTATTACGCAAGAAGCATTCAAGTGGGTCGGCCATATTTGATCCGAGGATCTGTTAGTCCGTTATTCTGAATGTGCTCTTTCGTTTCACTATTAAATATGGTCATTTATTGTTCCAAGTACACACACATATAGATATTACATTCACTTATTTATACAAGATAAATGGTTCAACAACACACGGGGCTCGTTTCCCCATTTGAGTTGACTGAAGACATAATAAAAGTTGGCGTTTAATACCAGTTGGCGCGATAAAATTCGCATTAATTTCAAGGATTATTGGTAATCAAATCATAGATCGAATCAGATATAGAACGGAGTGTCGCGTTTTCCTTCGAGTAATGCTCTGTGCATTTTATTTCATACTAGCTGGTGAAGACTGATGTTCAAAATAAGACAACCGTGAGGTGGGATGAGACCGACTGCTACCCATCAGAACCCTGGTTTGTGCCCTCTCCAGACAGCAAGGAAGAGGATGATGGTGAGGATCAAATAACACAATGCCACACCTAGCACACTGTCGCATCTTACATTGTATCACATACTTTACATGTACACTGCTGCTGTGCAACATGAAATATTCACACCTAGCGTGCTGTTGCATCGGAAGGTAGATCTCATGTAATGCTGCTACCATTACAGAGAGCGTACGTATCGATGTCTGTAACGCACTGTTGTGCTCCTTATTATTTTAATTTACAGCTTTAACTTTTACAACCATTTGTATCGCCCAAGCCATTTATGCATCGCTGTCATGCTAGGACAAATTAGCATACATTGGCTGTGGCGTTTCAAATGCTGCGACCTAGCAATAGCGTCTTATAAGAATTGTTCTATTGTAAATGCCATTCAGTGTTTAACAATGGCAGTTAGACACAACTTTTCTAACCAATAAACGATTTTAGTTTTTTTAGTTCAGAGGGGTACATGTACTCATTTGGTTTCTTTTTAAATCTAGGAATCGTGTTATCGTCTGTGCTGAATGATGTGACCATGAAAACCTTCTTGCTTGTCTTGGATGCCAAATCATTCACGGAGTTGGGAAGAGCTGAATTTGATGTAGCGCCTCCTATGGGATTTCACGTCAGATTCATCGACAATGAAACGATAAGAGGGCTGAAGAAGGAGTGAACATTTTTGAGACTATTCTTACTGAAATAACTCGAGTACCAAAACCATAATATTTTCATCGGTATATCGGTATAACGGCTAAAATGCTGCAGCAATGTATAACCCGTCGGTGTGCATACACATGCCAGTCAATCATGTTAGGTTTGAGACTGCTTTCATAGCGTATAAACATTCTTTTCCGCTTTTATCTCTTTATATAATGGAAACGGAAACATTTAGCACTTTGTGCCTCTTTAAAATATCACACCTTTAAAATCATCAACAAATGATGGCGAATGTGATGTAATTTTTATTTGTTAATATTGAGAACCGGTGGTTTCACTGTAAGTGGGGATGGAACACCTTCGTTTTATTAAAGTATATATAATAAGTTTATTATTTATTAAGAGTGGAAACTATGAAGCGTATTGCGTGATGAGAGTTAATGATGCTGGAAACGTTTACGAACATTTATTGTGATACAAAATTGCACTCAATTGTAGTAGAGCCATGTCGCGTTACTACTCGGTAAAAATGAAGTTTATATCAATTATTATTATAAATAATGTCGAATGAAATGAATTAATGCTAAATTAATTCAAAATACAGAAAAATGTAAACTACCTTTGGACTATTGGTTTAAAAAGATGTCACTGAAATATATATAACTATACTTTTCAAGCCAGTTTTTATAGGCATTTTCCTACTTGTACGACTAAGTACAGATTAAGGTTGAATTAAGGTTCACTTTAACTTAAACTCCTTTCATTATGCTTTTTTCACAAGTAACAACCCAACCGCCAACGCCTATTAAAGTAGAGCATTGGGGTTGGAGATGGGACATAATTGGCGGATGACAATACATTTTCCTATTTATCCTTGCCTTGATTTTAATACATTTTTGTCCTTAAATATCGAACAATTTGTTTTTGTCCATGATGCACTTTCCATTCAATGTTATAATCATCTCATCATTATTGTATAATAAAACGTTAATTTACCAAACCTCGATGGAGTCTTTCGATTGTTCTTCTCAATTTACGGCAGATTGCAAATTGATACATGCCTATATAAGTCGAGTTTAAACGATGTAATTCTATTAATTTGACATCAAATTGGCACCGTGTGCACATGGCAATGAACAAAGGAAGGTTAGATACGTTCTTTGCAATAATATTGGATCAAGCAAGAGCGACAATAGAGAGAGCACCAACAGAAAGAAGACATAACTATATGAACAGTACACATGTGTAGGTGTGGTCTCGGTCATTGAACCACATCAAATAAAGTGGTCGAAATCCTCCATAGTAATTCGGCAATCGTTTTCAATGGAGATGATTACTTTATATGAATTTACAACTCAAATAAACACTCAATGCCATTTTTCACTCATTGTTTTTTATTGCTTTTGACACTTTCCATATCCTAAATAAACGCACGATTTCAGCAACAGAAACATTTGTCTGTTCGACTAACGTGACAGCGTCTCCTATATTATAGCTGAATATTTCAAGTTCTTTCCAAATATAATGTTCAGTCTTACATTTGCCGTTGCTTTTTCGTCAGATACGCTGCATATGTTGTTAGTGCTTCTCATTCTCGTCAAGGTGCCGCTGCCGCCCCGCTACAGTCGAGTTCTTGGCAACATTTCCCAGGAGGTGTGACTAGCTGACAGCCAGGTGGAATTTGATCAGGGGTCCACGGCTTACATCTAGTGATATAAATTGAATGTTATATTCACGGCTAACAGGATCGTAAATGCTACCACAATGTACCTTTTACAACAGACAATACTGTTTTTTTTGTTTCTGGCAACAAAGTTGGATTTATTTCGAACGCACTGTCTTATATCCAAATACTTGTCAACATACGTGTATGTGTGTGTGTTTGTGTGTGTGAGTGTGTGTGTGTGTGTGAGGAGAGAGAGAGAGAGAGAGAGAGAGAGAGAGAGAGACTTACGTTGACTCACAGAACGCAAAGTTAGCGCTGGGGTTAAGACATATACAGTTCTTGCAGCCAATAACTCTTCTCTCTGCCCTGGCCAACAGCTCGTTATCCACCATACACATATCTGCAATGACGAGAGTATAGAAGTAAATGCTTACAATAGTCTGTTTCCAGATGAAACAGCACTGAACTTTTATCATTGTGCGAGAGTGCAACTTTCCTGTTTGAACGCTGCTGAAATAAACTTAACATATGGCGTTTTAATTTCTTGTGATTTAATTTTTTATCACCATTGCCCATATTTAGTAGTAATGAAACAAAACAAATTTCATCAACACATTTCAACAAAGGTGATTTTAACATAACGCATCAAAAACTGATATTAGATTGTGCAAACGTAAGCAAAAATAAATATATAAGTAAATGAATAAATAAAAAATAAAAGAATCAAATGTAAATACAAAAAAAAAAAAAAAAAAAAAAAAAAAACAGTGCGACAGAATCCAAATTATACAGACAAACTAACCGTCCGGTTTAAGGCACTCATGTTTCCCGTCTGCAGGTTTCACTTGACAGGCAACAGGCTGTCCTTTTGCGTCTTTGGGACACGGGTTTGGCTCACAAGGGTTCAGGGGAGCAATGGTGCTCGCGTCCATAGATGGCGTCGTAGGAGTTGTACTGGTTGACACAGCAATGGCGGCAACAGATCCGCTACAGTCCAGTTCCTGGCAACATTTCCCAGGAGGTGTGATAAGATGGCAGCCAGGTGGAACCATGTCTGGGGTCCATGGCTTACATCTAAAATTTAACACGGCATTTGTGTTTAAAAGAGTAACTAGAAGATTCGTGTTCTTGATATTACAGCTATGGACTTGTGTCGATGCCCAAAGTTGATGATAAGCCAATCTACGAGAGAGAGATAGAGAGAGAGAGAGAGAGAGAGTGAGAGTGAGAGAGAGAGAGAATGACTTACGTTGACTCACAGAACGCAAAGTTAGCACCAGGGTTAAGACAGATACAATTTTTGCAGTCAATAACTCTTCTCTCTGCCCGGGCCAGCAGCTCGTCACCCACCATACACATATCTGAAATGATGAGGTCTGCCTCATTGTATGGAAGTAAACACTCACAGTCGTTTGTTTCCGTGTGGCATAACATTCAGCATCTACAGATATACACTAGTTCCTGTATGCATTTAACTTAATTAGACGTTTTAAACGATATGAGGCTTTGATAGTTTTTGATCTATTTTGATTCTATTCCATTGTATAAACCAATTAAGCTGTAAAAAATCAAGTTCTTCAACACATTTCAAAATGCATACTCACTATACAGTATGGTTATTGGAAAAGGCTGGGCAAACGTAGACTTATTAACAAACTAATTTAAAATGAAAACTTCAAATAAAATAGAAACATTTGCACAGGAAGAACTTACCATCTGGTTTGACACACTCATGTTTCCCGTCTGCAGCTTTCACTCGACAGGCAACAGGCTGACCTTTAGCATCTTTGGGGCACGGGTTTGGCTCACAGGGGTTCGTAAGGGCTGGGGTGGTTGTGGGAATCCTTTTGGTTGTGGATTCCGTTATAGTTGTGGTGGTCGGTTTCATTGTGGATGTGGTTGGTGCAGATGTGGTTGTGGGTTTGATTGCCGTTGTGGTTGGTGCGGGTGTGGTGGTGGTTTTGATTGTAGTTGTGGTTGGTGCGGGTGTGGTGGTAGGTTTCGTTGTGGTTGTGGTGGTGGGTTTTGTTGTGGTTGTGGTTGGTGTGGGCGTAGTGGTTAATTTCG